GCTCGCAAAAAGACGATTAACAGTAAGTGGAGGGTTTTTATCGCTAGCACATTTTATGAGTAATTTTTTCATGGAAAGGAAACTGCAATTTATCCCCCACATTAACCACATATTAAAGACCCACTTTTTAATTTACATACATATAGGACAATCGTAGTGTTGGCGAATCTTCCTGCGAGCGGATAATATTCAGATCGAAGATCGCAACAAAATTATTTCGTAATTGACATAAGTATCTTAATAGTATATATTACACGTTTTTCGTATAATCGCAATTATAGAAATCAAATCATAGTAAAAAATTCAAATTGAGTTAATTTGACACAAGAACATTTTCAAAGTACGGAAAAGTTTCTGTTACCTACAATCCCTTGGATTTATGAACAAATTCAACTTTTAATAACTTTGGGTTTATCAATTTCATGGTACGATTGTACGAATACAAATGGTTTAAATCCTGGAAAAAAGTCATAACTGAAAAAACTTTGGTGGCTTATTTTGTTCAGAGAAGCTTAAGACTGAAGCCTCCTGGAAGCCTCTGAGTAGAGTATTCTATCTTTAAAACTTAAATAATGGTATTGATATATCACAACTCAAGAAACTCCTGACGAAATCTATATTATCTTAAAAGTTGATAATGGGCGTTGTTTGAGCCTTTAGGCGTGAACTAGCGTGATGAGTTACAAAGACGACGGCTCATGACATTAGGTATCAAGGTTCAGTTGTCATTGTTAATGTATCTGATACAAAGACATATATTAATCGAGCTTTCACAATTACTAATAAACCCAATGACAAAGTTCCTTTCGGAATATTTTTCCAAAATATAGACAGTTACTTACCGAATTCGTGCTGTAATCAATATGTCTATAGTATATTTGACTTAACAAAATGTGTCAACAACGACAGTAAATACACAACAAAACCATTGTAGAAAATTTTACTAGCGAATAATAATCCTCTTTCAAAACTTCGTGCCCTGTCTATCTGCATTAAGCTAAGCTGAAACTAAGTAAATATCGATGTGTCACTTTATTGCCCCAATTCTCTGATTGTAGAACCTCAGTGAGACATCTATTTTCCTAAGCTATCAGCACAATGTTAAGTGTGTTGTTACATTGTTCGCAGTGAACGCGTTTCGTGTTTTTTTACCTTGAAGCTTGTCTTCCTTTTTAATTAATGATAATTAAATATAGTAATTTAATCTTGTTTGGATAACTTTCATTAAATCTCCTCCAGTTTGCCGAGATGCTTTCATTACAGTCGTCACTGCGTTGTCTCGTACAACACAATTATCTTGAAATAATCTGCTTTATTAAATCATTATGAGTATTCCATTTGGAAGGTCCAATTACTCTCGGAGAAATCGTGGCTTATTGCATTCTCTGTTACAAAGTAGATTATTAAACATGGCATTATTTTGTTCCACGACACTCGAAAAGGTTAAACTGTTACAGAATTGAAATTATAAAAAAAATAACCGTTTCCTCTCTTCTAATTCCGGTCCTGGACTATCGAATCGTGATATCTAAATACTACAATATTCGGTCTTGATAAGCAAATACCGTAATCCCGATTTTAATTAATCGAACTGTACAGTACCGATTTCCGATGCACTTCAAACGTCAAAATATTTTTTTATTTTCGAGAAAAATCGCTAAAAATAACACCGCATTAAAGTAGCTCTACCACAGTATCGCTTCCTCGCCAAATAAAAACCAACCAAGAGGAAGTGGTTACAAATTTAATATCAATACCTTTTCTTTTTATCGAGTGCAACTAATTCACTAAATAAAAATCACGTCTCAGCTTATAACAAGATAAGAAAAGACGAATTTCAAGCTTTGATACAACTTGTAACAGGATTCAGTCGGTATAACAGCATTTAATATAATTGGATACTGGATTCGGTATAATAGAATTATATGTAAGAGGACGATCGTATTATTACACAAATCACTATTTTACTTTTTGCAAGTTGTCTTCATTGAGGATAAGTCCACTTAAAAAACGGTTAATTAAAACGCTAAACAGCACTATTTGCACATCCATAGAAATTAAAATGACTTACTTAGCTACATTACACGATATTATTTACAACAAAAAAGATTGTGGTTAGATTCGTCAAAAAAAAAACCGGTCTGAACCTATTTAATCGGAACTTCCGTTGCCTCTGGCGACAGACAGATGACAGACAGACATATTGTCCAAGCTGTGAAACCTCGGAAAAAGCGTCTTGTTTCGCTTGTTTAAAAAAACATTTCTGTTGTTTTTACTTTAAAAATAATGGGTTTTGACCACTTATTATTTCACTATTACGTATGAAACTGTTGTCATTGGATTTCTCTTTTACGAAAGTAAAATTCACTTAACAATAGAGGACACGAATAATATATTAACCGTTTTACTAGGAACAAATCAACACTAATTTCCAAGGGGAAAATGATACTTGTAAAAATTAATACACGATTTGGTATACCACTTGAAGGTTTTATTTTCTAAATTAACTTATGCGACATATTTCAAATATTTTGGTCAGCCTTGACATCTGAGGAGATTGACACTTTTATTTCATTATCACATATAGTATATTTGAATCGATTAAATACCCTTGTTGCAGTTAACGTTCTTACACAAAGCCTTCGTACTGCTATCATGATATATAGCATTTTTCGTTATCTTAAAACTGTACAATCGATGGAGTGATTATAATTAAAAGTTCCAAAGAAATCCAACTAACATACTTATTCGGATCGTTTAACTTCGTGATCACAAATAAGCATTCCAGAATTTAATTTTGACACGTTTAGAGAGGATAAACAAATTTTCGTCTTGGCAAAATTTAAAAGAATTATAATTATACCAAGTGGCACTTCTCAGATAAAAATGTTTAAGTGACATTATTAATTTTTCGTAAAGGATGAATAGATAAATTCTGGTTAGCCTTTTACCATCATCGTAATAACGTTACAGCCAACTTTAAGCAATCAATTCTGAAGTTTCAGAGATTATCTGTTTAACAACTTTCCGTCAAACAGACGAGGGCGAGACGAAAACGAAAATCTACACTTTCGTTTTCTAAGGGTTGTAAAACATTCATGGAAATGATTTGTTCATTTTTAATAAACAAAATGAAAGTTGTAAAAATATAAAATAAATACGTCAAAATTTACACAAAGTTACACAATTATCACAATATTCTCCAAATTACCAAGTGAAATTAACAATATTGTTTCATTGCTCTGCTTCCACTCAAATCTAGCCGGTCCATTTAGAATAGCGTAAAATGAGTTTTACCATTGTTATTGTAGGAAATGCACCCACACACGAAAACATAAGGTGCAAAACAAAACAACAATATTTGTTACGTTTTATAGCCCATTGCTTGGTACCATAATAAGACCATATTAAATACAAATAAAATCAGCACACGCAATCTGAAAAAAATGTATTTTTTTATATTATCCTGTTTAAACAACAGAAAAAAATCTTTATTTGTCGAGTACAAGTAATCAGTTGAAAACAGTGACCTGTATATATCCTATACATACTAAACTTCATGTCATCAAAAACTCTAATTTATGTTTACACGCGAAACTGAGGCACGTCGTGTGTTGTTAAAAAAAATACGAACACGTCTTTATCTCCCCCATAAAAATATTTAAATTGTCACGATTTATAACCGGTGAATGTGTGAATTTCGTACGAAACAAAGAAATTCTCATACATAGATATATAGTCTGTAGTTTTCCACGTCGCTTTCCGCAAAAATCGAGTGTCTTTGAAGAAGTTAAAAATACGACTCGACAATAAAATGCGATAAAAAACGATTTTATGAGATATATACCGGCCACTTTATCTTATCTTAGATAAGCAGCCTGCTGCAACGTTTCCTAAGAAAAATTTAAAGGGTCCAAAAATATTTCAATTTCTTGACGTATTCTGTAGATTGCGGCAATAATTAAAACATTGTATGTATGTATTAAAAGTTTGTGTGTTAAAAGGATATTTCTCCACGCTCAAGAAGCAGTACACACTCAACTTGTGTTATTTTTAAAAATACAAGACCCATAAAATTTTACAACCTTCAAACGAGGGACTATTTTCGAGAGTTCAATTACAGTGGGTGCTAATAGCTTTAAATTTAGATTAGGTGCAACTATGGTTTGTTCACAATGGTGATGTTGCTACTGATAAGTGATAACATCGCCAATATTTGAAAGTGTCATATGTATTCAAACCGGGGCTATTAATTTCAAATTTGATTTTAATTTGGCGTGAAGATGTTTAGTAAACATTATTATCGCAATGTGTACACATTCTGCAATTAAAATTTATCTAAAGAAAATAGATCCACAATATTGTGATGGTACACCTCACACATAATAAGTAACATTGTCTGATAAGAGCAATAAATTACTTTTTTTGTATAAATGAGTTTTTTGCTACAATAAAACCCGGCTTAGTCACTAAAACAGGGTGGTTTTAACCACAGGTAGGTTCGAAGTTTGAAACCCACTCTAGATAATGTTATGCAAGTGGCTATAGATACGTCATGTAGGCATTCATTAGGTCAATGTTCACATTTAACTCAGTTTCAAACTCCACATAATGTGCAATTAACGTTTTCCACAATAATAGATAGCGAAAAAAATACCAGCAGCGCCTGTATCAAAACCTTGAAAACAATGTTCAACTCCTAACCTCAAATTTTCAAAAAAAATCCACTCATTGGTTTTATTTTTTCACAAAGTTTTCTCAATCTTGGGCAACTATGCATTAAATTGTGTGTAGTTTTTATCAAGCAAACAATTACCAAAGCCACTATTGCGTACACTTGGATAAATTAACCATCTGGAGTTTAACAATAATTTTTTAACACAGAGAAAATTTAAATTTTTTAAATAGTAACGACAGCACCAAATAATAAATGAAAAAAGCGAATTTGCGACCGATTTTTACGGGAAATTATAAATAAACCTTAAAAAAAATCCACACACCTGTTTTCGAAAACACTCACTCTAAAAACACACACGCCAAGAGTTATTTTATTTTCAAACTTTACACGTTTATTAACCATACAAAGCCACAACACTACACAAACGCCATTGCCAAACTGGAACTGACTGACAGAATTGACAACATGACGACATCTGGCAAGTGTCATTATAAATCATGGTTGCCAACGCAACAACGTGACGCTGAAACTTGCGCAAACGTGTAGGTAACCAAATAAATTCCGTCCACGTTATCAGCGGCACTGCACGCATACAAAACGTTTTTGATTAATCTCCGAATGGCCGTAATTGAAAATAAAAACAATAAAAAATTATAATTGTATTTGTTCAGTCTCATACACACTATTAGATTCAAAATATCTTTGGTTAACAGTTATTCCTACTGATACAAGAACTTGTAACTAAATTAGATTCCGATTCTTCAGCGTTTTCGAAGGTTTCCTCCTCTTCGGGTGCTTCGACACTACTCGTTTGGTCCAGAGGGGTCACTGGGTGGCCTAGCACGACCAAAGCGTCGTTTCTTGGGTCGTCTGGATCGACAAGGTCGGGGGTTGAATGGGTTTCGGCGTTCGCGAAATCGGCTGATCCGCTTGATGAGGAAGACGACGAATTGGAAGAATCATCGGAAGAACCAGAGTCGTTGCCCTCGTCGTCGGCGTCGTCGTTTATGGCAATTGTGGAAGGGTGTACTCCTAAAATTGAAGATTGAACATTACTACTACAACCTGGAAATTTTGTTTGTTTATTAAATTTATTTCAAAATGTTACACAGTCAGAAAGAGGCGGAACGAATCAGTGCCCACTTGGATGTTATACTCATTTGAGTGCAATTAATTTTTAATTCGGCATTAAATTGCCATGTGACTGACTCTACGCCAATCGGATGTCGCTAAACGCTTCATTAAATGCGTGATTGACTTAATGTTAATTAAAATATTCTAGAAACTGCCCGAACTCTCGCCATTTCGAATAACTGAATTCTGAGTCACAAATTTAGGAAACTACTGTGCATTTTTTGAGGAATTCCCCTCAAAAATAAATAAATCAATAAAGTTGTTATTCCAAGTACTGAATATAATACAAACATGTAAAAACTTTATGTATAATGAGAAAAATGAAAAATGTTTTCTCATAAATATTTTATGGACTGTGAATGTTCTGGAATTCCAACTGCACATTTATTCACGTTGCATATTATCTGTCTTATCACCAAGAACTATAATTTTTACAAACATCTTTATGGATTTATTAAACCAAATATATTGATTCAAAAAAGGTAGAGAAAACTCAAAATGATTAGATATTTGTTAAAATAAACTTTTATCAGACCAGCCAAACTGACAATAACATAATGTCAATAATTAAAATAAGGAGCTCATATAGTACTATTATTTTTTCTACATGTAATTTCTTTTAACTGAATGTCGTTTCTTGGCCGATAAGAGTTAATTGTGTTACAAGAATTTTAACGCTAATTACTGTGGTTCTGTAGTATAAATACACTATAATATACAACGTGGTCAAAAAATGACAGATAATCTCGATAGTACGTTGTCGAGAAGGCTCTGAAGAACTTAAAAACCAAGTTTTTCGAGTCGTTCTTGCGATTCTAACATCCAATTGGACACTAATTTGTTCCGTCTCTTTCGAAATGTGTAACTACAATGAGAACGAACGTTCGAATGTTAATTATTCTGACAGATTGTAATTTAAATTTCAAAAATGTCTACCATTACTATGAAGCGGCAAATCTGCAATATTTTTTAATTTCACAGGTCACTAGAACTAATTACTGCAAAAATGACAGAATACTGCTGATGTAAGAGTAAGATCTTATCCGGAGATGCATTTTTTAATATTGATTTAAGCACTTCAAAGATTTTTTAAATGACTTAATCGACTTTTTGGAGGAGGTTGATAAATAAATTTTAATTGAAGTTCTGTAATCACTACGTCAATGTAGAGTCTTATCAAAGTTTGTTAAAGATAATCTGTGTGCGAAAGTTTAAAAATATGGCTACGTAATTAAACAGAGGTAAACGAACGTGTCACGCTAATAAATTTCAAATGAGACTTACTTAACGAAATTCTGATAGGGGAGACAGGTAAATTATGGTTAGTGCTTTATTTTTCACACGATAATCTTAAAGTAGATTTCGTCAACGAAAATTTAACTTAATTTTTGGATTTACTTTAATAATAAACTGTATGTATTTTAAATTTTAGAAAAGACAATATGGTTACAATTAAAAAAGGTTTGATGACGTCACGTTGTACCTATAGCAACGCATATCTGCAGAGTGATTATTTGAAAAATGGATTTGGTCATTATGCAATATTCACTTGTGTGACACATTTTAAAGGTGTAACAAATGGTTGTCCATTTATAGCCTTCACTTATCACGCGAACTAAATTTAAACACTCCAAAATAGCTCTTTAATATACATATATTACGGTAATTTGTCTAACGGCAATGTCAACCGAAAAACAAAAGAACTAAAATAAGAACATAAAATTCGGTGATTTTGTTTGACAATCAAAAGTCATTGTCAGGATTAGTGCCACAATTATCAAGATATTTTTCATACAGCCTGTAATTTGTTTGCACTTCCACAAAAAACTGTTTTCTTTTTAAGATTCGAATATCTATGTCAACGCTATTTAATTTGTGGTGAAATATTAATTATTAGTTCACTTGTCACGCGAACTGAATTCAAATATTTAAAATACCTCTACACTAAATCTGGAGCAATTCTTGCAACGAAATAAATTTTTTTTAGTTGTTGAACGTTTTGATGCAAAAATAGCCCCCACATGGTTGTTAGAGGCGCTTTTACAAAACCTCATCATTATTGATCGAATTCGTCTGGAATTGGCAACCTAATTTTCATGGGCAAATATTGATTTGGTACGGGAAAGTACGTACCTGAGAGATATTTTCTTGTTTTCCGCATTTCTACTTCGCGTTTTCTGTCTTCTTATGCTACTTGTGTGTTAAAATACATACTTTTCAAACACGTTTTTTTTTGTTCTACATTAGAAAACATATCTATTGTTTATTTTCACAATAAAGAAGTCTGCAAAAAATCAGTCGCCAATTTAGCAGTCTCTTTTTTATCAATATTGCATGGTTTTAACTTACTCGTGAAATAATAAATTCTATATATAAAAATTTGCTAATAAAAGTTTGTTAACTACTTTGCAAAATGGTACATTGGTGCACGAAAATTAAAAAATAATATCAAGTTAACATGCATTTAAAATAATTTTGTAGAGTTGATTATGCTTATTATTACAATAGTTTAAATGTGTTCTACAGGCTCTAGTAATCTATCTAAAATAACTACACTACGCTTATGTTGTCTTAGAGTACACTCAAAACGTCATTTTTATAACCACAAAATTTCAAATCAATACTTTGAATATGTCAGGAAAAATAGGCCATTCTGTATATAAAAAAGTAAATAGTACAATGGAAAATTTACACAACATCTGACTGTTAATTATAACAGCAAAAAAATGTGTAGTTTACAGCGTATTATTTATGCTTTATATAAAAATATGTTACATTAATAAATATAATTATAGACATTTCTGGTTTTTTTGTTTGTAGTTTTTATTCTTTCTTTCCGAGTTGTCAGAAGTAAATTGCATAAAACTGTGCATATTTCAAAGAAATTTTGTGCATATATCGGCATATTTTGACAAATACGTGTGCATATAAATCCGCTCTTTAGTTATTACCGTCTTTAACTTCACAAGGCAGTAAAATTTTGGTGAATACAAAAATAATGTTCTGAGAATACATATCCAATGTGCTACAAATTAGAAAAACAAAAAATATAAAAATAAGTGCGAGTACCCTCGTGGTACCTTGCTTAAATTTATAGTCAGAAAGCAACTACTTAAACTTAAGGGTATTTTTACAGTCCACCTTAATTACAACAACTACACAAAACAAAGCAAACCCTTTGTGTGTTTGAACTAAAAAAAAATACAAAGAAGAAAAACAAGTATCACAAAAACTAACGCCGGCTCTCACTTAGTACCTTCTACTGGCGCTACAAATGAAATACCTATTCCATTCAAGGCTACATCTTCAATGTTCACGTAAAACTGGTCATACCTAGCCCATCGCCCTGACAATAGAAGTGGGGTTCATCGTGTAGATCGTCTTCAGGTGCATCGCCTTCCTCAAATATCTGCAACAACCAATTAGGAAAGCCGCTTTCTTCAGGAGGTAGAACTAACAAGGTAATACACAATTATCTACTGTAAAAAATAAATCTTCCTAAGTACCTGCTTCACTAACGTTATTGATGTTCTCAGCAATCACGATGCAATTGCTGGGGAACACTAGAGTGTTCACTGCCGGAGCGGCCGACCCCACTTCAAACTCCTCCAATAGATCCACCTGGGAATTCGCATCAAAAAGCGCCTCCCTGCTCGACCACTCCGCCTCCACGTTTTCCGGTGGCTCCACTTCCGCGTTTTCTTCCACGCGCTCCTCCGCCACGGGCTCTTCGACCACCGCTTCGGCGATTTCGTTGTTGTTGTCGACGTTGACGTTATTAGGATCCAGATTATCGATCGCGTTGTCGTTTTCTGGTTCTGGGTTCTCGATATTCTCGGCGGGGTAATTGTTGCCTTCTAGATCCCTGTTATTGTTAGCTAGATCACCGTTTTCGACCAACACGACGGGTTCGATGACTTCGTTGTGCTGAACTAGGGGCTCCGGAGCTGCCGGTTCTATCAGCTCTTGGATTACGTCGCCCCGTGGTGGCTCATCTTGAAATTCGAGTTTATTTAAAGAGTTTTCTAGAATGCAAGTGGTGATTGATTTGACGTCTTCAACGGATTCGTCGCTATCGGACGAGTTGGATTTTTTCAAGTGCTTATTTTTTCGGTCGCGGGATGGACCAGCAACGGGATGCTTGGCGATTTCTTGACAAAGTTTTTTCATCACTTCCTTGTGTGGAAGATTCGACGAAAAATTAAAGTACTTCTTGTCTTTATGAATCGCATCTAACTCATTTATTTTGTCAAAATTATCAAATACTGAAAGGATATTTGATAGTCTGTTGGGTTTTTCGAGGTTTGGGTTTTTGAATTCTAAAGGAATTACTTCTTTATTGACTGCGGACACTGACTGTGGGGACTCGTCGGGTACTGATGGAGATTTCTGATAGCCTGAATCGAATAAGGCCCCTTGTTGTTTGCGGCTGCCGTTGACTTCCAAGTGGAGTTGAGCTTTAACACCTTTATGAGATACACGTTTTTCATCTATTGAGAAAAGTGAGAAAATTGAATTTCGGATAATAGTTTTTACCTTTGTTAGCTGGGTCGGTCCACGTTGTTAGGTCTGTGTCTTCCCAGTCGGACATGTGGCCATCATCTGTGTCATATTTATCTGATTCATAACCTGAAGCTTCTGTGTCACTGCCAGAAGCACCGTTTTCCATTTCATATATCACACAAGTTTCCACTTGCTTAGTGTCTTGGCTCTGGCATTCTTCGATTTGATAATTGTGTTTCAACAAAATAGACCTAAAGTACAATAAATTTAAACAACATAATTTGACATTTTTGTCAAAGGCAAAGCAGCTACTAAAATAATGTACCTACTTGATGTTTGTAAGTGAAAAGCTATTTGATTAGCACTAGAGTCCCTAGATATATTTCAGAAAAAGTTAAAAAAAAGTATATCTAGGGACTCTAGTATAAACCATTCAGGATGTTTTTAGACAAAAGTGAGCCCTGAAATTTTTTCTTCACGTTGGATAACCTGATTCATTGACAAAACGGTTTGCTGTCGGCGCGTGAGACTGACGTTCACTTGACACTGATTTGCTACATTTATTATTATTTAGAAATCATATTATCAAGTTGCAATATTTCCGACTTCTGCTATTAAAATTTAAAATGCCGAAAATTATTTTATTACAACAAAAGATTTCAATAACAAGGTGCTATTTGCAAATGAAAAAAATCAGTCCCCAACAAGGGTGATGAGAATAGTGAACATATTTTCTATGACTTTTTGAAAGTTTTTAAAGATTGTTAATTAAAAAATCTTTGTAGGTGATACCAATTGGGTTTTCACATGGTTGTAACTTTTTATTAAATTCGAAAGGCAATGACAGAGATTACCACAAAACAATGCACGAGACACTTTTTCAAAATTGGGTGGTTTCCTGCTTTGGCTAAGTTTAACAAAAAATGTGTGGTGGTTATGTCATCAACATTTTCTAGTCGCTTAATTATACTACTACATTTGAGCAAAAATTTTTGAAAAAAAAAATTGTGGGAATTAATTAAACCTTTGAGGACAAATACACAAAAGCGTTATTGTTGTATCATTTTATATTCATTATGCAGTGGTCCTGGATCTCACTGCATATACACTTCACTAATTTTTGAGTAAAGCATTCCATATTTTATTTAGAAAAAAACTTCTAACATCATGTAAGTATACAGAATTCGTCATTTAGTCTTTAATTATGTACATTTTATTACAATTTATTTTTAATGTGATAATATTCGCTTTCTTTTTCTTACCATTTATATTGTTTTTTTTAACGACACGATACTTAAAACATGTTTTACGTGGTCATTTCTTGTAGAAAAATATGAACTTTGCAATTAAGCTTGTCTCACGACAAATAAAAAAATTAATCCCAATTGAGATAGGGGCGGGTGGGTGGGGCTTATCCTTTGACTTTCTTTTCGTAAGATACTTAGTCTTCTTTGAGCAATAAAATACTATTACGAAATAAACCCATACTCCGCCTCGGTACGACGCCTATGGGCTGTCGAGAACTTTCTGGTCTTCCGCCGATGATGATTCATCCTCAATGCGACCGAGCGAGCAATCCAGAATGATCCCAATCGTTTGGGTTTTAAATAGTTAGGAGAAGTTGCGCCGGAATTATTTTTGTACATAATCTCTCTGTAATTAGTCGTGTAAATCCGAGTTATTAAGAAATAAATTATTGAATTTTATCTACCCCGATTTTATTCACCCATGCAATGTAACACTGCACTGGTCGGAAGTGAGATCTGAAATTAATAACCGGTTTTACGATTTCCGGGCAGTGTGGACAAGAATTCTGAAAAATTTAGGCCTGTCGAAACAAGATCTCAAACTGCAGCGATGATGGAAAAACAAGTAAAACAGATTATGGCTATGCTTGCACAGACGGATGCAAAAAACATAAGAATGGACCAAAAAATGGACGCACGAAACAAAGCAATGGACGAGAAAATAAACGTAGGAATGGAAAAATTGGATGAAAAGATGGATGCAAGAGATGGGAAAATGAATGCAACAATAGAAGAAGTGAACGGAAAATGGAAATGGTGGACACAAAAATAAAAAAGCAAATCAGCCTAACCGAAAAATTCCACAGGGAAATGGAAGCAAACAAGAATGAAATAGAAGAAATTAAAGAACAAATGAAAGGTATGGAAAATATTGTTGAACGAAATATGGCCTCAATGGAGCATCAGTTAAAGAGTGCTTCGCTTGACTCTCCCTCATCTCACTCCTGTGCAGGTGTTTATCCACAAATCGAAGGGTAATAAACAATATTTGACAGAAGTTCATACTTTTATAGTAATACTATGGGCGGCTTTAAAAGTTAGTTTTGCCAACTACGTTTCCAGAACAATACAAAACAAACTGAAATAGCAGTTTTTTTAAAGGCAACCTATTTCTTTATTCTTTAGTGCTCATTCAGAGTGGGCATAAAGCATAAGGATGTCATAAACATTAATGCATAAAAATTTATGTTTAGTGAGTGCTCTATGCTTCACAATGAGCATAATGCTTAGGACATTCTTATGCTTTATGTCCATTGTGAATGAGCACTCATGCTCATTGTGAACGAATACAATCATAAAGCACTAAACATAAATTTTTATGCATTAATGCTTAGGACATCCTTATGCTTTATGCTCATTGTGAACGAATACAACCATAGAGTACTAAACATAAATTCTTATGCATTAATGCTTATGACATCCTTATGCTTTATACCCATTGTGAATAAGCACTTACAATTAATAAAACAAAACGAATCGTTTGCTCCATTGTGGCAGTCATTTTGAGAAACCCTGGAATCCGTCAAAGTTTGGGGCAGTTTATGACTTAAACGAACGCAGTTCTGAAATAGACTCTCAAACACTTTTCCCTTTACTCACAGGTCAAAGGTTTCGAAATTGAATTTCAAGTCTTCTGAAAACTTTATCTGTTGGATGTCTACGTTCGGGATATTTCTGGGCGTACAAATTTGTCGCCACTAGAAATTTTTTTGACACTGCTCAAAATTTAGAGTGACATAAGAATACCAACTTGGATTCATGATATTTTTTAATTTCTACTATGCATTAAGGTACAGAAGAAAAATGTATTTTGGGGTGCCTATAGGGACAAGTCAAATTCGTCATTTACGCTGAATCAGCCTGTATCTTGCGTGAAATATTTATGTTTTATTTTATCTTATACATAGATGTGAATATCTAACAAATGCGTTAATAAAATCAATCACTTTTTTTTGTTAGAAAAAATAATGTAACAACAAATATCTAAAATTGTCTCCTCATCAAATTTTTCAAAGTGCAAAAAGTAATTGTTTAAGTAGTGAATAAAAAAAAGTAATTTGTGATTGTATTGAATTAAAGTAGCCCAAAAGCTATAAGGTCATATGATCATCATAAAATTAGATGACCGCAAATAAATACCTCCTTTGTGTGGTTCGCACTAAGCTTACCGGTTGGCAATAAATCGTCTTCTAAACATTTCTTGCCCACATTTAACAGGATCGGCTTTCAAAGTGACTGGTTATTTCGGAACCCTCTGCGGCTGCAGGTAGTAGCCGATTAACGGAGTGGTGGATTTAGATATTTAGTGAGAGCCGCCCCTGAACGAAACGACAACAGCCGGTCGAGCTGCAGTGGACACGTTATTTACTACCCCAAAACCTTTTCTATTGTAAACAACTTAACTTCGACACAATGGGATAATTTTATGATAGCCATATAACCTTATAGCTTCTGGACTACTATACTATTTTTACTGAGTAATGAATAATTGTTGTAATCACTGGTCTCTTGAGCCATGAATTCCAAATTTTGAGCACCATCAACTACAACTGCGATGAACACTCCTGAATCACAAGAAGCGTGCAGAAGCGATGTAGACATTATTTAGTTATTTATTTTATTATTATTTTGTGTTAACAGCTAAGAATAATTATACCGGGTGTCTGGAAAAGGGCAGATTAACTCTCAGCTACGCTCTTAACAATCAACTGGTAAGTGTGGGAAAAATAGTAAAAAAATTCCTTCTCAGATTTTGGTGGAGTTATAATGATTTTAAAATTGTTTTTTGCTACGTTCAACAACTAAACAACACATTCATTATCACAATAGCTAGTAATGAAACTTTTAGTTAATATTTCTCTCGCCCATGACCATGTTTAATTACCATTTCAGTTAGAATGGGCAAAGATATGGTTGTGTTGTTTTTGTAATAATTTGATAACACTTCATTTGGCAACAATGTTTGCCTGCTATAAAGCGAAGGTACAAATCAGCAAAAATCGAGTAAGCAGTTAAAAATCGTTAACGTGTCAAAAATTGTCAAAACCCTACGTTTAAAATGTTGGCAGTTAATTTTAGGTCCCCTGCTGGTGTTTTGTTACTGAATGAACTTGAAAAAATCTTTTGAGCTTTTGGTGTTGTATTTTTTATGAATTTGAAAGTCTTGAATGCCACAGTGTTTTTTTTTTAATTGGGGAGACTCTTGGTTACCCATGGAGATTTTTTTGTAAACAATTTAAAACAATTTTAGGGGACTTTGTTGTTCTATTTTTGAAAAATTCTGACCTAATCTGTTTTTGAGTTAATTTTGAGACCTCGTTTTCTTTTGAAAAACTTAAAACAATCTTGAGGTTCTAGGTAGACCAGTTTGGAGAAAATTTGAAAGTACTTTGGACCCTCTAGTGTCTTTTCTTTTAATAATTTAATCACATTTCTTAGAGGATACGCATTTGCTAAAATCAGTCTTATCTTAAGCAAGTACTAGTCCCAGCCACCAGCCCTCCCTTTTCTTAGACTGTATGTCTAAGAAAATTTTTCATTTGTCAAAATCGGTCTTATTTTACCAGGTACTAACTAGCCTCGCCCACCCGCCCTCTCTTTTCTTAGAGTGTATGTCATTTGTCAAAAATCAATCTTGTCTTAGCAACTACTGGCCCCGCCCACCCACCGTCTCATTTGCCAAAATCAGTTTTATCTTAGAGGGTATGGATTTGACAAAATCAGTGTTATCTTAGCAGGTACTAACCCTGCCCACCCGTCCTCCTCTCTTAGAGGGTATATCTCATTTGCCAAAATCAGTTTTATCTTAGCAAGTAGTGATGACTAACTTTTACAAAAAATGATCAAAATTTGGAAACATTACGAGCTTACTTAGGCCCGGTTGTACAATCGCTGGTCAAAAGTGCTGGTCAGCCAACTGGTAGTTACAGTTAACTAATAGTTAA